AAATAATAAGAAATGAGGACTTGATCTGCAATAAATGACCCATTTCATTAAGGGTAAAACTGATTTTTTAACAAAAAACTTAAAAAGCCACTATTCATAGGTCATTTTGCAAAATGTCCCCATAAATGGGATCAAATAGGAGCAATGAATATTCAAGGAAAAATGTTCAAAATATTACAGTTAAAGATTGTCTCTATCTAGCACGGATACCGTTGTCTATGGCATGTATGATGTATTCTATGTAGACTCAGCATTCATACTGGCTATCAAGCCTTTCGCCATCAAAGAGTCGAGAAGGTTTTACACACTAATGACCATCAACATGATTATATGACTTTATTCTCATATGTTACAAAATGTATACAAGACTCATAAAGAGAGCAACGAAAAGAATTGATTCTACATATATCATATGTTAACTACCATAACCGAAGGAGGGATGGGTAAATGTCTTGTATGAAGACGATGTTGGAAAATTTGACACGCAAGACATGAATAACTCAATACAAAAAAATTTATTGATTCAAATCAGTAGAGTTGCTGTGCTCCTTTTCTCGTTCACTCAAGTTTTGCCCAATTGACTTTTCCTGTCAAGATTTTATAGAGACGTCATTTGATTAATCCAATTTTCATATAATTTATTTACTCTTTTTTCTTTTGTTTGATATTTTTCCCACTATTTTTTGTCAAACAAGACTTTCAATAAGACAATTATTGTAGCTTTCCTATTTATTTTAGAAGAGTTATTTTATTCGAATTGTAACACTCATTAACCCCCCCCCCCACCCCACCCCCCACACACACACGTGTGTGTGTGAGAGTCAAATATTTAATCTTAATTTTGCATTATTATTTATTTTACTTATTTATAAATACAATGTACAAATAAGTCATTTTACTCTTATCTTAAAGATAATTTTGGATAGAAACCATAATTACGAATAATTTATGTCAATTTGAAAAAAAGAATGTGATGGAAAAAATTTTGAGATATAAATATGATAATATTTAAATGTTATGAATCTTTCATGAAATTAAAATATAGTCTAATTATTAAATTTATAATGTGAATATATTGAGCCTATAACAAAATGTATTGGAGTTTGATCCTCCTCATTATCTTTTATTGTTACTCTTTTCTGAGTTTGGACTCTTTTTTAATGAGGTATTTAGAAAAATATATTTTGAAATATTAATTTTTTTAAAAAATATATAGTTAGAAAATAAGGAAAAGAATTTGAATTTACGTATAATATTATCTTATTAAAGAATGTATGATTGAAAGGAAGAAAAAAAAAATATTGAAATTAAAATAAAGCCCAAATTATCTTAATTTTTTTGTGAAAAAAGGAAGATATCCCTTTCACCTTTGGTCCCCCGCAATCTCCATCTTCCTTAGTGACACATACTAGGATAAATACTTACGTGATAACACGTGTATAGCACAAACTCGAAATCGCTGAGTCACCGAGTCATTGACCCAGGTCGGTCCAGTGAAAAAGCAAAATTTTTTATTCATTGGAAAATCAATGGACTCTCTGAAATTATTTGTTTATATAAACTAAACTGGAAAGATCGAATTCTTCACTCACTTCCGCGAAATTTCAGAAAGGTATGTTTTATATTTATGTAAATCCCTTTTTCTTGCGTTTGCTCTATTTATTTTGTTAATTTCAATCATATGTAATTGTATATACGTCTGGAGAATATGTGAGTTTTTAGTATATTCGTAATTATTAAATTTCGCATTTACACGTTTTACTATCAAAATGGAAAATTATGCGATAATTTTTTGTGAAAATAATTAATGACGATAATCCTCAACTATTATCATGTTTTGGTTGGGTGTGCATGCTCACATATAAGGTATGTATGTATTGTTGGATGGACTTTCTTGTAAAAGGGATACAAATACGATGAACAAGGGCCTTGGATATAGGCTGATTTTTATGCCATAAATGGCTTTGAGCTGTTAATTCTAGGTTGAGATTTGATGGTATTATGAAATATTTGGATTTGATAGCTTTATAAAAGTGTGGTGTTATTGAAGAAGAAAAAAATTATGGCAATTGAGTTTCCAGTTGCTTCGAAAATTTGCGGTGTTCATTTTATTTTATTTTTTTGGCCCTTAGGGCTTCTGAGATATTCTTCATTAGTGTAGAAAGTTTCTAGAGAAACCCAAGTGAATATGTAAACTGCGGGCATGGAGGTGGAAATATTTTTGGGGTTTGAGATAAAAGGGAAAAATAAAAGAGAGATGGCAAAGTGAAAACCATGAGTGATGTGCAAATTTCATTTTGTGAAAAATTCATTTTTATATGTGGATTTTGACTGTTGAATATTTTGAGAATCTTGTTTTGTGTTCTCCTTTCTTTCACTTTTACATGATGACACAGACACATATATTAGCGAACTATCTTTCCATGGCTATCTGCGGTGCAGCAAATGTGATTTGTTTACAGATATTATACGATTTAGTTTTTTAACCGCTATTGTCATTGATTACTCTTTTGAAGAATCACCCATTACTGATCGTTTCTTAAAATGTTTTTTAATTGATTTATTTATGTTTTTGGAAGAATGAACTTTGACATTGGTTGATTGAAGTATAAATTCATTATTACTTTAGGCTGTAAATTGAGCTGACTGGAGGACTTAAAATGGGTGTCAATACTGATACTGTTAAAGATGGGTCTACTTCTATTGAAATTGTTAACTCTGGTGAAACGGAATCAGAATCAAATAACATTGATTCACTTGAAGTTATCTCGTCTAGTGGAGATATTACACTACAGATAAGAACTGCCGCAGAGATTTTGACGACGCTTGAACTAGATATAGCATGTTCCTCAGAGAAGTTGGTCAACTTAGACTTACTTGTTATGTACGTGGAAGAGAGGGAATATGATTTTGAGGCTTTCGTTTTGGATGAAGAATCTACTCTGGAAGGTTCTGATGAAAAGGCACTTGAATTCGATCTTTTATCTGGGATTTTGGACTCTGAGGTCAAGGAACTGGATAATTTTCTATCCTCTCTTGAAACGGAGATTCTAAATTCTCGAGGGGTTATATCTTCATTCAAGCAGTTTGGTGAAGCTTTTAATGGAATGGAAGAAAAGTTGTATGATTGTGAGGAATGCTTAAAGCAGTCATTTGAGCGGGTCACAGAAATACAGGCAGAGTCTTCCAGATTCCAAAAGATCTTGTTGACTTCTGGCAGCGACAAAAACTGTGAGTTTATTACATACTGAAATTTATTTTTATTTGTGAAATGTCATTGTATATATGGTTCTGCACAGATTGACACAAGTTTTTTAGTGCCTAGTTATTTGAGTTATAGTTTTACATTAAGTATCCCATGTGGAGTTGGGTTCCACAATCCTTGAACTGGAATTGCAACATATAATTGAGTGGATTCTGATAATTTACTGCTTTAAACACCCTCTACCTTATTATCTGCAACTTCTTTTCGTCAAAATGGGAGCAAATAAGTACACCTTTGTTCCATTTTTTTCTTGGTGGGTGGACTGGGCAAATAAGTACCCCTTTGTTATTTAGTTACTGCTGCATATCAGATGACATTAACATCTGAATTTCCTATCTTCAACTTAAAATAAAATAGTTCTTCTGTCTTATGCTAATAATGATTGAACATACAGGGAAGGACAATAAAGAGGTAGTGAGTTTTGAGAATGGTGATCCTTTACGCCAAAATACAAAGATAAAAATGAAGACTGTGGAAGAGCAGAGGAAAATTTTGCAGATGCTTGAGAAGTCTTTGGCCAGAGAATTAGATCTGGAGAAGAAGCTCAACGAGTTTACAGAAACTGAAGAAGATTTGAATATTAAGCTGCAACAAGAAGTTTGCTGCATAGTAGAAGAAGTTGAAGTTACCTCCGAAAGACTGTTTGAGGCAGAAAATACTGCTGAAATCCTTTCAGGGATTTCAAAAGAACTATTGGGACGAGTCCAGATTTTACAATTTAATCTTAGTGCTTCAATCCAGAGAGAAGGGGGTTTGAGATCTAAACTTCAAGATCTAAATGAACAGTTGAAAGATAAAGAGTGTGCTTTACAAAACTCTGAGAGCACCAGGAGAGAACTTGTGGAAAAGATGACTACACTTGAACAGAAACTGAAAGATTTTGAGTCTCAATTGCAAACAGTGAAGGATTCTTCCGACAAGAATGAAGAGTTATCCTCTAACATTCATGAAACTGAAAGTATAATTAATCAATTGAAGGAAAAAGCCTATGATGCAGAACAAAGGTCTGAGAGTACCGAAGCTGAGTGTAAATTGCTTAGAGAATCTAATGTGGAGCTTAATAAAGAACTTTGTATCCTTAAGAGTAGCATTACTAGTTCAGATGAGAGGTTGGAAGAGCTTGAGAGGAAGTTGAAGGACTCTGAAATTAAGCGAGAGCATGCAGTTGCATTTGCTGAAGCTAGTCAGGAGAAGCAAAGCATGTTAGATTGCACAGTTAAGGATATGGAAAATTTAATAGAAAATCTGAAATCAAAGGTTTCAAAAGCTGAAAGACACACTGAGAATGCTGAAGAAAAGTGTATCATATTGTCAGAGTCCAATGCTGATCTCAGCAAAAGAATAAATTTTCTAACGAGTAGAACAGAAGAGTTGGAGGCATCTTTACATCAGGCCGAGGAAGCAAAAAAGGAAACTGCAAAGGACATTGGCATTCACACCAAATTTATAGCAGATTTAGTTGTGCAGCTGGCTCTTGAAAGAGAGCGCCTTCATAAGCAGGTTTTGCAGTTTCCCAATCTTTCTTATTGTGCACTCATAATTTGATCACTACTTGACAAGCCTCTTTCATTTATCTTTTGTAGCCAATTATCTATTAATATCTTTCTTTTTTGTCCCTCCCTTTTCATTATTGATTATTGATGTAGTTTTTATTGCCCTTTGAGTAAACTATGAGTTAGTTATCCTGGACCACAGATCTTCTACAAAGTCATTTAGAAATTTTGTGATCACTCATCACTTGATGTTTGAATTGACAATGTGCTCTTCTCCTGTTCTCGTTCTCTCCCTCTCTCTCTGCCTTTTCAATGGCCCATTCTATGGGTAGGAGGAAATGTACTTTACTAATTGATGTTGTAATCCAAAACTCCAAATTACAGGACATTACTCTGGAATATATAATACTATCCCCTGATTGTTTTGACAGTATCTTTAGATTCTGAGAGAATTATTTATGCAGGTTTTATCATTAGTGAAGGAGAAAAAATTTGAAGTAAAGCATTTGCCAGAAATGTGTGTGGATCCCACAGTTACTACAACTGTGAATTCCAAAGGAAATACCAAAGAATCTATGCTTTCTGAGAATGACTCTATAAATGCAACTTCTGCTGAAGAAAGTAATGAGCTAACAACCGAGTCCTTAGCTACCAGTCATGAGGTATGTGCTTCAAGTATGTGTTTAATGTTTATTCTCGTCAGTTCTTATTGGAATAAAACTGGTATAGATAAACGAGGATGACATTTTTTTTGTTGTGTGAGTTGTAAAAACTTTTTGATACTAAAAGTCCCAAATATATACTTACATGCAGTGTTATAAAAAGCTCGTCGTGCGCCGCCACCTAGGCTCGAAACTCGGGCAAAAGGCCTTACTTCCCACTTGGACACTTTTTTTCTCAATTCCTAAACAGTTGAATTTTTTTCTTCCTCTTTTTCATCTTCCCTAGACGTGCTTTATTAGTTTTTTTTTTCCTTTTTTTAAAAAGTCTTTTATTTGACTTTAGCTTATTAAATTTTTGGACTTTAATTTCAAGTTTTTAAAAGATTTTTATCCGTACAAAAGTTAAAATTGACTTTATCTAAATATTTAAATAAGATTTAAGGTATGATGCTATCTACATTATGTAATTATGATTTTGAGACTCGTTATTTGTTGCAAACTCCAAAAGCATGTATGAAGTTTTTATAAATCTATTAAGTAGGACTTGTCTAATTAAAAATTGAAACTATAAAAAATATTCTAATTTTTGCATTTTGAAAACTTGAAAATTTTATAATTGATTAATGGTAGGAATTATATAGTAAATATAGTATTTTATAATTTTAGATGTTCGATATGTATTATTTTAATTATTAAATAATTAAAAATTTAAAAATAATATTAAAAATAAGAAAACTCTTTTTTACGCTAAGTCTCGCTTAAGCTTGTAAAGCTTGAAGCTTGTCCTTCACGCCTTGCCACATTTTACATTTTTTAGAACTGTTTATATGTATGTTTTTAAATGACCAGTCAAAACACTAATATAATGGGATACAAATTTTGAAATGGAAGTTAGCACAATTTAGGTTTCTCACTTGTGTTACTTCTCTTTGTGCAACTGTTGACACTAAATCATAGTATCTTAATTGGTTTTCATCTCCATGTCTTGTCCACTTGAAGACACGGAAGTTCAGGAACAAGAAATTCCTTAATTTCATTTTTCTTCTCATTTCCTAGTAAATTAATTTCATTCTCCGATTTCTGTTGTAATCTTTCCCCGAACTTGTCTCCCTTGTCAAATACATCATATGTTCATTCACTGCTGAAACATTGGCATATGCCTACCAGGAAATGGCTGTGTAATTAATTATTTTGAATGTAGAAACCTCCATTGTGACCATCTATAGGTTGAATTTTAGCAACTGTAGTAAGATTTGTTTGGCTAAGCTTAACAAAAGAAAGTCACTTTTAACTTTTTGTTTCTAAACATGCTTGGATATGTTACCTTTTTCTTACTTTTAATGAATAAAGTTACTCCCCTTACAGTCAAATAAGTAAATTATTTTAATTTTAACCAATAATTTTTTATTTTATTTTATTATTTTTTAACTTATTCACTCGTACTGCCATGCTAAGCTTAAACAACTTTTTAAGCTTAGCTAAACCTGCATTGGCTGAGGACCTTAGTTGCCCTAAGCAAATAGATAAGCTTTTAGGAGCATTCCTATCAGATAATGGTACATTTTAATTCCATAGGTGTATCGTCCTTATAATTATGCCGTTCGTTATCTTGTTTCTACATGTTGCATTTCTCTAACATTGTTGAGGAGCCCTGTGATGACGTCAACATATAAGTCTTTTTAATTAATATGCTTTTACTCGTCAAATGAGAGTTTTATCCTTTTTGTTAAGCAATTCTGGAGGGTTTTCCTTTTTCTTTTTCTTTTCATATATTTAGATTTTTGAGCATGTTTTGCTAATCCTAAAAATAAGTTGAAGTACTTTCTACATAAGTAAAGATTTTCTTTCTACAAAAGTAGGTTTTGTGCCAAAAAAAAAAAAAAGAAATTCTTGAATATGTATGAAAATAGGTAACTCAAATGTTTACATTTGAACTTTCCAGTTCTGTCTTTTCAGGCATGGTGGTGGATTTGTTTGAGGCATCCACCAAATCTTATACTATTTTTGGGTGAATTATATTAAAATTGTAAAATATGAATTGTTATGATGGTTACGCATCTTACTTACATTAATTTATTATTTGTTTTAGATGGGCAATAAGCTTGGAGACACGACTACGAGTGAGACAAATATGGAGCGTGCAGATTCCACCGCCGATCCTGAGACAACAAGGAATATAGATGCAAATGTGCTCGACTTCAAGTATGTCCTCATGGCACTTGTAGCGTTGATTTCAGCTTTTGCAGCTTATTTGTTTCAAAACTAGATGAGCAATCTTGATACTTTTAGCTGCTTCAGCTTCGTCATGTGTTCTTTTTAAATGATCATATAAAGTTCTGAATAGCATCGGAAATGGAATTTCTTGATGACCAGAGTTGGGAAATTGTTCGATATATCTAGAGGGCAACTTGTGGGCAAATTTCACTAGTAGAAATTTGTCAAGCTCTCCATCTCGTCAACTTTTTATCTGTATTTTTGCAAGAATAACGCTACTTGTAAATAAGGAGTGTAACAGAAAGTTTTACAGATTGATAGAGATTTTGATCCAATTATATCTCAACAAATAATGTGTTTGTAAACCAACCTGTAAGTGGTGATATAACTAATGTGTAACTGATTTTGCTATATAACTATATCCGATAATGAAAGAATTGTTTTCTTGTTCCACAGTGAAGATTTGATTTTCCTGCATTTTTTTTATTTAATTTTTTCAGTTTCCGTGTCTGCTTTGCTGAATGGATTTTAAACTCGATAGAAAGGGAAAACAAAGTTTGATTAGGTAAAACCAGGCCATGTTTCTTGGAAGTTTATTTTGTATCATTGTAACTTTCCTATTTACTCAATAAATTATGTGGAATGTTGGCAATTTCTTCCAGCTTTAAGCAAATTTCTTATACTGAGGTCATGATTTTTGCTTTTGCAATGACTTGAAACATTTCTGCGAAGCTATCCTAATTAATTTTAAGACGATTGCTGATGCGTGTAAAAATGAAATTAGTTAAGACTTTTTCATCTAGTAGAATTATTTTATTTAGGTAGTCTCTAGATTTGGCCTCTGTTTGACAAATATTAAAATTTAAATTTTAGTCTAAAACTTACACGAGACGCTGTCGAGTCCTTCCTCTAGTCATAGGTTCATCATTGCAAGGGCATATCGACGTGCAAGACTCATTCGCAAAGTAAACAATTAATTTTAACCACATATTTTATGGATAAGTAATGTTATTTATCATCATGACGATAGAACATCGATTATGTGACAATCAATTATTTTATGGACCTGTTCTTTTTTAAATATTTCAGAGCGATTCGCATGCAATTATAAGAATTATGTCGATTAAACTTGAAAATGGAGTTAATATAGTTAAACCTCGTCAAATGAATGTAACCATAAGTTAATAATCTCGTTTATACAATATATCGTTTTCTGTCTCAACTTACACGGGAGGTCACTGACCTTTATTTTGGGCCCTTGCAATCCGGTTATGTAACTTTCACCGTAGTTGCTATTAAGCCCCCGTTTGACACCCATTTTTTTCTCATTCCCATTCTCATTTTTTGTCTCTTTCTTCATTTCAACCACACATTATATCAATAAAATAATATTACACATAAACCTAAAAATTCTCCTTACTTTTTAACCATACATTCTTCCATCAATCACTATTCAAAAACACATTTTCTACTAAAATTGGTGTCAAACACCCCCTAAATTTCAATTTGAAGTAATCGAGACATAAATTATACATTCACACCCAACAACTACTGAAAAATAATTGGTTTCAAGGCTCAAATTCACAATTTTTCAAAGCCAAACAGTGATTACAGGCTGTTCTCTTTGTATTTCAATTTATTTATTTTTTGTGTTTTGAATTCATTTTGAATTTTGTGTTTTGAGTGTCCATTTTGAGATTGTTGAAAATGTGTTCTTTTTGGGATTTTGAAAAATTATTTTGAACACACCCAAAAACATGTTTTGAAAATTTTGACTTGATTATAACTGAACGTACCCAAAACGACAAATTTGTCGTTTTGAATTTTCTTTGTAAATTTTTAACTTACTTTCTAAAACGCATTTTCAAAAATAGGAAAGAGAACGCGTTTTCACTATTTTGAAAACTCAAAAATGGAATTCGGCTTGAAAATGGTAAAGAGAACATGTCCTAACTAACTGTATTTGAAATGAAAAAAAAAAATTTTTGATCAAATATCAAGAAAAAAAAAAATCAAACATTATATTCTCCAATACAAGTCGAGCAAAACAAGGAAACATAGTATAATTTCTTCAAAGAACCAAAACCTAAATTGAAAAATCTACAAGGCACGAGATTTAAAGAAACTTGTATGAATTCTTATAATACTATACTCATTGTCTACACCATGGGCGGACCCAAGGGGGGTCCTTTTGAGATTCAATTTTTTTTTTTTTTAAATCACGTTTGTTATCGATTGAAATTTAAATTTTAATCTAAATTAAAGTTAACAATTAATTTTAATAACATATTTTCATGAAATTCATAACTATTTAATTTGTACCCAAATTTACTAAAAATTTGATTTTAATCTCCACCAAACATGAGTAAAATAAAAATAAATTTGAATTTCGAAATATACAAATTTTAAAAATTCTCCGACGATCATACGCTAATCGAATCTACAAATTATTTGTATCATTTCGAAACTTATTTCAAGAATTACATTATAGACATATCGAATAGTTCAAACATATATCGAAAATAGTTAAAAATACGTTAAACGTGAACCTTTAAAAAGACGTCTAACTCGCATTTTTTTAAACAAAAAATCAATTATTTCATTAACATTTATTATTTTTGCAATACAAATTTTTCAATGTAATTTTCATCATTTTATTAGGAAATTTTCAAAAAATTTCGAAATTTTACATCCGAAAAAGTCATATCTCATATAAATTTTTAGACGTAAATTTTCGATTGTAAAAATTCTACCAACTTTTTTACAAGTTCGATTGTGCCCCCCAAAGTTAAAGTTCTGCGTCCGCCCCTGGTCTACACCTACGATATGATGATTTGAGAATAAGCAGAGTGACTTTAGCATAAAAATCAGCTACCAAAACTATGAAAATGAGTGGTTCAACCCAATCCTGATGAGCCGGTCCGGTTGCGATTTTTGTGGTTTCATATGGTCGTATTTTAAAATGGAAAAATTAACTCTTGTTGTACAAGGAACTCAAATTAAATTCGATTCAGGATAGGAGAGAGGAGAAGCATTGTTGCGCCATTGAATTCGAGAGCTGGGTTTTGGCATGTATTATATATTCTGTTTTTTGTTTGTTCTGCTTTGCCAGTGATATCACTGTATCTTCTCTCGTCTCGAGTTTTGAGTTGGACATATGAACTTTAATTCAAGTTAAAGTTAAAACAACCATGCTAGAGTTACAGCCTTGATTGCCAATTAATCGTGGGCCGCGCCCCATGTGAGAGGATTGTCAAAAAAATTGTCAACCAAGTCTGTACATTCAGCTTTATTGAAGTTCGAATTTAATTTTAACAGCATATTTGATAGTATTCATGACTTTTTAATGATATATTTCTTAATTGTTATCAAAATCTATTAAAAATTTGATTTTAACGGGTATATTAATTAGTAATTTACAAAATAAGTTTTTAGAAAAAAACTAGTTGTACAAAAAAAGTTTGACAAAAAAGTTGACAAACCCTCATTTGATTGCCGGCCCCACGTGAATAAAAAATTGAAAATAAAAAGTGGGCCCCCCACATATGAGGATTTGTCAACTTTTTGTACAACTTTTTTTGTACAATTAGCAGGATTGAAGTTTTTAATATCAGCCATTCACCCATTCGATTGGGCTGACTTTATTTTGTAGAAATAAAAAATAATAATACTTGTTCCGCCACCTGTTTTGTTCAAGTATTATAAGTAATGAAATCGAAAATAGTAATAAATAAAAGAGTCATGCTACAGTGCCTGCGTGGGTGACTGTAGGGATTACCCCGCGTACACACATTGGCGTCGATATTATTTTATTCATGTGGGACCCCGCGTGACGCCGGTCATTTAGCATTTTCCTAAATAAAATCCCCATTGCTAGAGATAAATTTCACGTTGCATAAGATCAAGGTCAATTGCTCTAATGGAGTTCTCCGATGTCAACCGTTTTCACCGCCGCGAACCGCTGCCGCAGACTCAACAAACCTCCTTGAGGCCCAATTCCAGCACCACTACTAGGGCCTATCAAGAACCGGAGCACGAAGAAGGTGAATTGAATCGACACAGCTCATCTTTGCTCGATTTCGATTCATTGGAGCCACCCAGTAATTCGAATTCCGGTTTCTTTGATGACTACAACACCAGTTCCAATTTTGGTTTCGATTTTAATGCAGAACCCGATAGCTGGGGTTGCGAGTATGCGGATTCCTTACCTGACCGAAATTGTTGTTTATGTCGAGAACGATACGACGAGCCGATGAATTTTGTTACCGATCTGTTCGAGCCTCGCGAAGCCCATATTCTTGATGACCCAATTCGGGAGTTCGATTCAGGACCGTCGGAGGATACGGGGATGGAATTTGGGTTCGGTCCGGGACTTGGATCGGATACGGTCCCGGTGGAGCTTGGGGCTCGGGTTGATGGCTCGAATTCGGAGTCTGGTTTCGGTGTATTTGAGGTAAATTCTGGGTTTATTGTTAACGGTGAAGACAATTATGAGAGCTTTGGGGTGAATGATTATCGTATCACTGAAAACGAAAGAGAAGAGTTTGAGTGGGAGGAGGTGAATGAGAGAAACCAATTTGACGAGAGAGTGAATTTTGACTCCGTGATTGAACGAATTGGGGGAGTCTTGGTTTCTTCAAATGTTCCATCCCCAGAAGGCGAGGATTCATTCTTAGATGCAGTAGAAGGCGAATTAGAAGAAGAAGAAGACAATGAAGAAGAAGAGAGAGATGTCGAGTGGGAAGTGCTCATGACAGTGAATAATTTGGATAGGGATTTTGGTTTTGAGAACCAAGAAGAATATAACAATGAGAGTGAATTTGCTCGTTTTGATCTTCCAGAATTGGTGGAGAATGAGAATGCTGTAAAGGTTGGTCTGCCTGCATCGAAATCCGTGGTGGAGAATTTGCCTACAATGGTGTTGACAGTTGACAAAGTGCGGCAGAATAATGATTCTGTTGTTTGTGCAGTTTGTAAGGAGGATGTTGCAGCTGGAGAAAAGATGACTAGAATGCCTTGCTTCCATCTTTATCATGGGGACTGCATTTTGCCATGGCTTGAGATCAGGAATACATGCCCTGTTTGTAGGTATGAATTGCCTACAGACGATGCAGATTATGAGAAAAGACGAAGGGATAGGGGTGGTGATGGAGTTGCTCGTCACTTGGTCGATGATTTACAGGTGAGCAGAGTATTTTTCCTTTGAAAATGTGTAGGAATCTGTAGAATATGGATTTATAATGCATATTTTACCTTTTGGGATGATAGGACGCCGAACTTTTTGGTTTTGTATGTTGCTTAGTAATCTCGTGTCTGGATTTCAAGATTGCATGTGTATTGTTGGAATAAATTTCTCTTGTGCAATCACCTAACGGAAGTTAAGTGATTATACCTTAATGGATTGTTTGGTTAGGTGGACTGCGCAACATATTTGGCAGTATTAAGTAAGAAAAGAAAGCTAAAATTTTATTCATTCTAATGTTATGCCAATATACACCTGTTTTAGTCGGGATTGAGTTGTTTGTGAGCATCTGTATGATTTCTGTTTTCCCTTGAGATTGTGATTAGTTTCATTTGTATCTTCGTCTCTGATCAAAAGGGAAAATCGTTAGAAGTTTGGTGATCTATCAACAACTGTCTGTTTCATGTTGGTTGAAAGTTTTTTGGAAGTAAAGTCTGGTGTTCAGATGAATATAGAGACCTTTCAATAGCTTAGTCCATGTAATTTTGGGTCAAGCCGACCAAGTCATTTAATGGAATATTTGGACTCTTTCGACTTTTCTTTGACAAAGACATAAAAGGATATGTAATTGTTACCACACACGAAATGATGAAGGTAGTTTACCAAGCCACCCACTTGGGAAGATAGTTTCCAGGAAGAAGCAACTACTCCTTATTGTATTCAAGAAGTAAAAGTAAACTTACCGGTGGCTTTCACACCCCAGCAAATGTAGGGCCGCAAACAGCTTCCTTCCGCTTTTGGTGCTCTTATGTAGATCTCTGGATTTCATCCCTAAACAACACAGTTCTAGGCGTATAATTCTTATAGAATCTCGAGCTCCCGAGCCAGTATAGTATTAATGGTTTTCATTTTTCCAATATGAACCGCCCCTTGCCCAGCTCGACGAGTTCTCTGTCTTTATTGATCTGAATAGTACTTTGTTGATCTATATAGCATAAGAATTGTGTGTGTGTAAATTTTTCTGTTTTTTAGCAATCACTTTCAGATGGATGTATTCTGGAAATATGTTCTTTCCTATCGGATCAAACTGCAAGGCCATTTATGTAGGTAATGACTTGTGTTCTTGAATTATGTTCACAAGCTTTCACTATTATGATCGTCGAAGTGAAATCCGTTGCCCTATCCTCTATCCCGTCTCGCCAATGCTCCATTTCCAATTTACACCTATGGACAGAGCCAAAGTTTGGCGATTGATTTCACTCCGGCAATCATCCATTCACATTTGTAAAGCAAGGTTGTGTTGCAGTTGCTCCAATTCTAGTGGGGTCTCATGAACTGAACTTTGTTGCCTTCCCTTAGCGAAGCGTGTACGTTATGACACTGTAAATTTCGAGGTGAAGAGTGACGATTCATTTGATGATTTTTTGAGATTAATTATTTCTAACTTTACGAAAGAAAGTAAAATAATGAGTAGTTTGATTTGGTGGTTTATAGCTATGAAAACTTGGAGCAAATTTGAATTCTGAAAAGCACTGTACGTTTTCTCGTGTTGACAGTCAATATTGACAGTCTTTCTCGAGTAGAGTCGAATTTATTATCAAGTATGGATTTTTGAAATCTCTGAGAATTACACATCAAATTGATTGTAGCGGAATATATCGAAATTTATGTAATTTATTATACGAGTTATATACATATATTACTTTTCAGTCTAATACGATTCATAAATCAATTTTAAAATTGGTCAAATAATAAGAGATGTGTGATCACAAAACCTCCCATTTTGCTCATCCATTTTACAAATTTGTTCATTCAAATAATGTAGAACCTACTAGATCATATATATATATATATGTGTGACTGAAAAAAGCCACCAAATGAGTAAGGATTGTCATTTTATTTATTTATTTTTACCTAAAATAAAAATGCAAAATGGTGTATAGCCTTGGGAGTAAGGGTGGAAAGCACGAGGACAGGCTCTCCACTCCACTCCGGGTTCTCCTTTGACTTGAAACTGAAAGTCTGAAACTTTTCGAAATTACGAGAATTCTTACTTAACTAGAACAAGTAGCTTGAACCTCCGAAAACTACGAGAATCCAATGCATCCTTAATTAACGCGAAGGAGATTTCGATAAAGAGATGGAGGGGACAGGCTTTGCTAGGAATGTGGGGTTGCTTTCTCCAGCCATTATGACAACATTGACCCTTGTCTCCATTTCAGGCTGTAATGAGTGCAATGGATTTGTGGGGTTTCTCTCATTCGATGATTCCGAGGATGATTTTCTACATGAACAAGAAAGAATGGTCAGTGCTAATCCTGTGAGTCCCAACATCAGAGCTAGACCGCAAATGATGTAAGGAATTGGAGAATTCCATTGCTTCAGTTCTGCACCTGTGATTGTAGTGTTCTGTACCGCTGTCTGCATCTCTCTCTCTCTCTCTGTATTAATATCTCTCTATTGAGTGTCTTCTTGTGCTAATGAGCCTGACACTAGGGAGTGTGTTTCTGTACATATATGTGGGTGGGGTGGGGGTGCGGGTGTGGGTGGGGGAGACAAATAAGATGAATGTTTTAAAAATTAATATGAACATCAGACCAAAAAATAACTAATTTGTTGAACTCATTTTTTGCAGGGGTGACGTAGTCAATAGATCCTGGGTCCTCCTCACGTTCATGTAACTCCTCTTGCATACTAGGGCAAATCGTTATAGCACGTGGCCAATCTCCAGTGGTGGTAGAGGCAGTCGCGTACACTTCGACGGTCAAGTCAGCCTTTGCAAGAATAATATTTGGATGTGGGACATGCTTAAGACGTGAGCTACTTAAGGAGTTCGGAACCAAGGGTAGTGAAGAGCAAATGGAGATTGCAAAAGTTATACGTTGAAATCATAAACTTGCATTACATGTTAATGACACAATGTCTGAATTTTTATAGTAGAAGGGAATGAGTAAAAACCATTGGATGAAGAAACATGTGGCATCATCCTAACGGTTGAGGCACTTTGTCATAGGCATCAATCGATTAGTCATAAGCTCAGAAGCATTTAAAATTATGACCTACATAGGAGTCTAAACTTAACATGTTGACTTGGTAGAGTAGCTGTTGTAGTGTGTTGTCACATCAACCATAAATTGAAGATTTTGTACGAAAGATCTTCTGAACCGCCTTTACTTGCCTCCCCTCATCCATGAGGGCTCGATCCTTCAAATAGGTTCAGCCCCAGCACATGGGTTTGACTTCTTCATGGGGATTCGGCCAAAATTGCTAAATGGGCGGAATGACTTTAAGTTGCGGGCCTAAATCGCATGCTATGTGATTACCACGTGACTATGCCTGGAGTCTCGCTGGAAGAGGCGTAACATAATCAATGATTTATGTTAAAACTAATATTAAACTAAATCCTTTTAAATCAATCGGGATGTAAAGACGTTTTTGGAAAACATTTAGGATTAGGTAGTTAGGAATTTCAGTTTCACTAGGCTCCGTTTGATTGTAACGAATTCCATGAAAAATATAATATTCGAGGAAAATGAATTCTATTTTGGCCTTTTGGAAATGGAAATCAAATTCCAATGTACAACTACTTTAAGATGCATTTTCTTTATTTTCATGAAAAACGAATCCATATAGGTTAGTTGGGTTTTTATTCTCCAAATAATAAGAAATTCGAATTTATTTCCACCTTTACCTATCAAACGGACTCTTAGATCTATTAAGATTCATTCAATGCAATATCATACAGTCCATTTCATATGTATTAAGCTTTCGAGTAAAAATAATCATATTCACGTTCCCCAATTTACTATATCTCTATCATGAAAATTCATACACATGTAAACACATTCATTCTTAGGAATTCCACCAAAATTGCATAAATTATAAGAGCATCTCTCAATCTCGTATCAATACCTATGTCACTAATTGTACAAACAAATACATGTCTTCTCGGGCTCATTATTGTCCCCAAATTCACCAATGGCGGTCAAGCAATTGAATTACATTAACAAACAATAAGCAGTAAACACAATCAAAATTGCAGGACATCTTTTGAATTAAATAAACATTAAACATAAGCTATATCATTTATCTTAACAACAATTTATCTAGTTGCTCTTAATTGCGGAATTAAAAACATAAATGATTGAAAAATCTCCGGGTTCAATACAACGAATTAAGAAAAAAAAAATCAAGCTATTGTTAATATTCACCACACGACTACTAACAATGGATCTTCGACCTCTTCCTTGATAATTATTGATCTCTCGACAAATTGATAAAGTTCAACCTTCAAATCTGAAATTATCTAGCTCATAAAGTACTCTCAAATACCCACATTTGGTGGCTCAGATAAATGTATAAATAACACTTAGACCCTGTTTGGCAACCATTAAAAAGAATTTTTTTAAAAAATGAGTTTTGAAATAGTAATTTTTTGTAGTATGTAAGGTTAAAAAGTAGAAAAAAATTTGGGTTTACGTGCAAAATATTTTATTGTGAGAATGTGCGTTGAAAATGAATAAGAAAAAAGAGTTTTGTAAAAATGATTGTCAAATATGGGCTCATTAAAGACCTTCAACTTGAACATTTGTTTGCCCAATTTGACATATATCATTCAATGTTTTCTCAAAGTGAATATATAAACCTCAAAATTCAAACAAGTTAATGAAATACCAAAATTAACAATTATTTCACGAACTCAATTATTCTTAATTTCACCATTGTACTTGATCAATTATACACATCAACTCCCAAGGTACCTTTTCCAAAACAAAACCGAATTTCATGTTATTGTAATCTCTCAACACTCGTATTGCTCGCTTAATTTTTCAATTTGTTCTCCTAGAAGGTGAACTGAACAAGTGAGATTGAACTTATTTCCATCATCAACATAATCACTCTCCAAATTCTTATTCAATGGCCAATACTTAGCTAGAAAGTGGGTCTTCTATCTCATACACTTGCTTATCATATTTGCTCACCAAAACAAGAAAACACAATTATACTTTTTACTTTTTCTTCTTACTTGTAGGTAGTTATTTCGTTCAGATATTGATGATATCAACATCAGACCACTTCTTCCAACTATTTCTTCGCTCTAGCACGGCTCAACATTGATATTTGATTTGTAAGATTATCAATGTAGGTCGATTCTTCTATATTCTTACCTCATTCTTCCTGAATGAGTGAAATGTCTTTTATTGGGCCAATGATAATGATTGAAAATTAATCAAGTGATGATGGTATTGATTTTGGATGGATTTAATCACTCTCAAACTTATTCTAAATAGGTTTTCAATGTGATTCTAACAAGGGTGGTTAGTGTAATGACAATATGTTATGGTTTCAAAAGTTTCTAGGTAGACAAGTTGCATAATTAATTTCAAAGTTAATCATAAATACAATCAAGAATGAATTCATGCTCAATTGGTCAAAAGTCAAGTATTAGGTAATGAAATTCATGCAATAATTGAAAATTCGAGTGATACCACAAACCAATCCAAATTTTTATACACAATATCATTATTGGAAATGAATTCCATCGTTCAAAAAATTAAATTAGATTAAACACAATCAATTCAATCATGCAGACTCTAATGCGCAAAATATAGATTAAGTTAACAGAAAACTTAGGTGCCGTTCTCTTCGTATTTCAGTTTTATGTTTTGAGTTTTGAATTCATTTTGTATTTTGTGTTTTGAGTGTCTATTTTGAAATTTCTGAAAATACGTACTTTTTATCATTCTGAAAAACTGTTTCCGAAAACATAAA